GAGGAGGAAAAAACAAACATTGTGCCTTAGTTGTTTCAGTTTAAGTCATCTGCATTTAATTAAGGTCAGAGGGGAAAAATTGATTATAGAGTCCATTGGAGCTCTGTTTTCCATCCTCTTAGCCCCATTAATTTTGCATGGCTTTATCGACTTGGCTGCACCGAGGCTTCCCAGGGCGTCAGTCTGCACCTCTTTGTCACAATGGGAACCACGCCGAAGAATACCCGCCCACTCATACACACACACATACACACAAGCAGAGTATGGCCAGATATAGATGCTCTCTTGTTCACACACATTAAAGTCCAGACCCAGAGGCCTGTGCCACTTACAAACACTCCCTAATTGAATGTTTGCATTTGAACTAAATGGTACTTTCAGAGAGTAAGAGCAGTGAGAGGATTTACCCGATGGCTGTTGGCCTAGATAGTAACTTCAGGCAGGACGTGCGGGTATGTCACTTCCATGGTTACGGGATAGGGGCCCTCTTTCCTCCCGTCAGCATGAAACTGGAAAATGTTTGTGTTTGTTGGATTTCATTGTTGTTGTGCATGGGTGGAGGGGTGCGGGCAGTGGGTGGGGGCACAGAGTCACGAGGACTTTTGTGTGGGAATAAACTTTTGGGGGGGAGTGGGAACAGATATAAACAGGGTTCTGATGATGAAGATGATGATGGAGGCACATGGACGGTTCTTGATGTCCTTCTGTTAGCTAGGATGGTATTCTGTTCACTGTACAATGCATCATAAGCAAGAGGAGACAGATTTCAGGTTGATTTATGATGGCAGTCATTATTTGGTTGAGTTGGTATGAGTTTGGACTACTTACTCATGTAGGTTTATTTAACTGTTGCTTTTTCTGGGGTGTTAATGGAATATTTAAAGACATTTGTACTGATTAATGGTCACCAGGTTGTGAATTTAATAGATGCTACAAAATGAAAGATGTTTGTTTCCTCAGATGACATATACAGAAAGTTATCAAAAGGCTTTTTTACAAAGTCGGTCTAATTGAAATCCCAGAATCCCTCTCAAAGTTTCCAAATAATCATCTTACAATATTACGGACTGTCCAAATTTATCCAACGATATAACAAGTAGAATCTTGATCAGAAACCAATCCTAATGTTTGACATTTAAAATAGCAATGCTTAGGTACTTCAAAGTGTTTGGCTACAGTTTCTTTCTATTAAAACTATTTGAAAATCACAGTTTGTTGTGAGTTGCGAAAGTCCAGAAGCAGTTAGAAGCTATGATCACAATATAGTTTCTCTTGATATGTGATTTGATCAATAAATGTCCAAACTGGATATGGCAACCAAGACAAAATTGATAGAAAAATAAAACAATATATAAAAGATATTATTTGTTTTTTTGATTTGTTGTGACTTTATTTTTTATAGTAACACTGTACACTGTTGAACAATTTGGAAATAAATGGAATGGATTTCCATTAGGATGTTACTTGGTCCTTCTGATTAAAGAAAAGATAGAAAACATGCATCATTCTTATTTGCTTGCAAATCTACACCAAAGAAAGTGATCAAGTTCTGTTCAATTTAAGATTTTTTTTTCTGATTGTTGCAAAATGTAGCTTCAAATTACAAATTGGTCCATATTTGCGTACAAAATAGAAAGCAATTTATAATATATCTGCTTTCAGTTGATATTTGACTCAATTTAAATTTTGATTTCAATTATTAAAAAACCAACTGCATGACTTGCGTCCGTATACTTTAGAATGCTTTTACATGCGCCAACGTATTGCATAGAACTCAGGGCTCCTGAAATTCTCTCCCACGCCGTTTATGCAATTAGTGGCTTTGATTTTTTTTTTTTTTTTTTTTTCTTTATTTTTTTCGTAATTAAAACTATAGCTCTACATTAATGACAGTCATTACAGTCATTAATTGCTTACTGGATTAATTTAGTTAATATTACTTTGCTAAAACTCTGCACATTTACTCTCTGCAGTCATCATTTCCAGTTGCTGCACTATGAAAACTAACCTTGTTTTTCTGGTAAGGTTTATTTTTGTTTTGCCATCACAGAAGGATCTGAACCAATAACTGGTTATCTTTTCAAAGCAAACAAAAACCTCATGGTGTAACTTACTGTATGTGCTCTCCAGTTGGTCATTTGGTACCAGAACTGATTTAGCTAAACACCTTTGTCAGTGTTTTTAATTCATGAGTCACACTGTGATTGATGGGAAATATATTGTTCCAGATTTACAATGTGAAAACCTCCTGACATTGATAAATATTTTAAAAAGTAGTCCTCTGTTTAAGACTGTGTTGGCTAAGTCTGGATGAAGATTTTGTGTGGTTGTCACTAACGCAAATTAACCCATGTATGTGTATTAAAATTCACTGTAATAATGTTTCTTGTTTGCATTTACAGACTAAATGTTTGCCTCTCTCTGTGTGCTGACTATCTTAGGATGCACCAGATCTGTCTTTCTTTATTAAAGGATTTGTGATTGTTTGAATGGCACAACATGATCCAGGACCGATTATTGTTTGTAGCTTTACATGGACTCCTGTCTTTGAGAATAACAAAGTAGTTCAGAATGATTTAAATCGCTTAATTTAAATCATTCACAGGTCAGCTCAGTCGTGATAAGTCAACGAGAGCCAATACAGTCGATGGAAACCCTCTGAAAAATTACTGCCGACTGCCTGGGAAATGTATTTCCTGTGCTGAATTTATTTGCTGTTGACAGAAAACAATTCCCCTCCACCGTTTGCTGCAGGGGGAAGGATACGGCTGCACTCGGCTGAATTACTTTGAGGGGAAGATTGGGGACAAGTGGGTTCAATCCACCACCATGAATGAAACACAAAGCTTTCAATTACAGCAGAGAAATAACTGTCTCAGAAAACAAGGACCTTGCATTCACCTTCTCAGTAAACAGGTTTTTTTGTAACAGGCTTTTTTCTTCCAATCAAGGTTGAGCATGTTTTTTTGTGTTTGGATTTGACCGGTGATGAGGTCAAAGGTTTCTTTGCCAATGTTTAAACCTGAGTTAAAGCTTAATGGTATCTACAGTATCTGTCTGTCTGTTGGTCTATTTATCTTACTTGTAATAATTGCAACAGACTATGGTGATAAAACGGTTGCACACGCACTTGAAAACTAAAACTACATTCAGCAGGTGTTTATTGTGTATCAAATTCAAAATAACATGTTACAAATAACATTACTAAAAAAGCAGTGAGTACTTCTATGCTTTTTGCAGTAGGATTAATGGTTGCTGTTCTGTTTTATATATTCTTCTCAGTTCAAGACTTTCAACTTTTTATCTAAAACACTTTTGTTGTCTGTATTTGTCCAGATGGACTGAGGTTTGGACTAATCAGTTGAGAGGGGTGACTGACAGGGCCACAGTAACTATGAGAGAGCTGTTTGGGAGGGTGACAGAGGTTCGGGACTGTCTGAAATTTGGTCTTACCTCACAGTCGGACTCCTCTTTGGTCTTACACTCCCAGGTGTATCTGCTCATGGTTTTCTGAGGGGAGGGGGACGGGGCAAAGGGTTATATTCCTCAAAAACAACCATACAAGCCATCCTCAGAAGAAAGACAGGTAGGGGGAGAAAGGAGAAAGACAGAGTTTGAAGTGGACAGAAAGAAGGAGGAAAAAGAGTCAGAGACCCAACGGATCAGAGACAATTAAAAGAGATTAAGAAGGAGACAGGAAGGGACAGAGATAAAATAGAGTTTGAGCGTTAGAGACAGAGACCAACAGCAGGAGTAACACGACTTCCTGTCCGATGTCAACTGATATTCCCAGCTGGATTCAGCACAGACTCTGTGGTGCTGCTTGGCTGTTAGTATGAACTAACGCAGCACCCACAGGTTTGGTCATTTCCAATGAGGTTGTAGACCATAGACGCACAGACATGGAGTTGTTAGTTTTTGGTGAATTTGATCTTAGGGAGTATTTATGGTTTAATTGTGAAATGATGTGTTTTGAGCTCATTTGTGGCTTAAAACTGTGTTGAATAGTAGTTGGGGACACTTAATTTGTTGTAGAGCTGGAGAGAATTTACTCCCCCTAGAATATACCAGTAATGCCAGAGTCTTCTGCAGTAATAACAGGATTACTAAACTGATCTAAAAGCAGGGTTGGGAGTCAATCTGAGTGCGATGCTGTGCTACTGAGTGTAATTTACCTCTTGAAAATATAAACTGTTTCTAGCTCATCAAACGGAAATTCACATAAAATCAATACATATTGTTGTTTTTTTTCTCTCTAATGCATAATTGTGAATTTACTGCAAATTGTCTGGAAAACATAGTTAAAAACATTGGGTGCTAACTCCCACCTGCAGGTTACAGTACATTTTACTTCTACTACAACATGATGTGACTGTTTATGTTTCATACTTGCCCCAGATTCCACAGACTCAAAATTGGTTAATGGACAGAAAACCAGATAAAAAGCAAGAAACGGAAACCAATAACACTGAATGAGTTGATTTCCATGGAGCAAGCTATCTTTAGAATACATGTGACTTCTTTTCACATTATGTAGACTGTGCAAAATTAATATTTTACTTATAGAAACAACTATGTCATATTAAATACAAGTTAGCAGTCAGTGTTGGATTGATCTCCCCATCCACTGCTTTTAGGAGATCAGCACATTCCTTAATGTCAGTAGACAGAAAAACTCTGCTTGTTTCTCGTTGGTAAACTTCAGAAAGATCTATAAAAAGAAAAGATTAGGCAAAGTAAATGGTTGCAAACCTCACTTTGTCCAATTTTGTAAGTTGACACAGATGACATTCATACTTGTTTTAGTAAAATTGTATTGTATAAACTTACTATATAAGCACCAGAATTATTCAATGCATGAATCTCAAAAATACTTCACAGGATATCTTTAGGAGCTCACAATGAAAACCCATTTGTATACAAGTACTATTCAATCCAGTGAATGGCAAGGGATTTTTAAGATATTGTTAGAAAGTGATGATGGATTTTTTTTTTTTATCTTGTGTTTTGATGTTTAATGTTCATTAGAGAGAAATGACTTGCACTTGTATTTAGAATGAATTGGTGGGACTCATTTGCATGAAAAGGAACTACATTGATACCTAAGAAGCCAAGTTCAAAGTCTACAGCCTGCAGTGTAAAGAGGCGAACAAACTACTGAAAGAGCTGTGAGAGGGTGGTACCACATCCTGAAAATAAATGAAATTTTAGCTAAAGTAACAAATAAAATCTCAGTTGTAGCACTACAGCAACCCATGCTGCTACAACTTTGGTGTTAGCGCAAACTAGCTACCCATGCTTCAAGTTAGTGAGACACCTGTCAGCTCTGCTGCCTCCTTCAGGCAGCAGGGAGGTGTTGCATCCCAGATGTTTATCCTGATAACCGCCTCTATTTTTCTCAAAAACCCAACACTTTTAGCTTACCTGTTGTGATGCGGCTCCTTCGACCCATAAACCCAGAATAAATTATTTTTTATTATTTTTTCATTTTTCCCTCTTTCTCTTTATACCTTCAGGATAAACAAGTCATGAAGACATTAAAAAAAAAAAAGTAAACAAGAGTAGCTGCGAAGGCTGACATGGCCACTAGGTGGCGCATATAAGCGACAGAGCAGACATGCCATGACATAAAATACAGATGCAAAGAGGTGATAAGAGAGAGAGCAGGTCAGAAGGACAGAGAACAGGCAGGACTCACTGCAAGGGTGTTTTTTCTGTCCTAAAATGGTCAAATTAGAACAAAAAATCTGTAAGACTTCAGCTAGCTTGGTTTCACGGGGGAATTGAACCCCTAACCCCCTGGCTGTGTTTGTAGCATCATCCAACCACAGCACCAAGTTACGTTGTGCTTGGTCTTTTGTCAATATTGTGGAAACTAAACTCAGAAGAGAATGTTTTCATGGTTGCAGGGAACTGAAAATAAAACTAATCAAGATAAAAAATTTATAACTCTGTGCATTTATTTCTTTGTTTACACTCTATGGCAGCCTTTCTGACAGACTTTTATATGTGAAAAAGAAATATGATTCATGTTTTTCATTCGTACTCTACTCAACAGCAGGTTCCTCTTAACAGATGACCTTTTGCATTAATGATGCAATCCAGATGATGCAATCTGTAGGAACCTTATCATGTTTTGTTAAGTTGGTAAAGGATTGAAGTTCAGATTTGAATCACTGCTGCTGGATTTGGAAATGTTGGTAGATCTCGGAAAATCTCAGCGTTAAAAAAAATCTAACTAGTGCATCCCTGTTCAGCTTTTAAAAAAACAGAAATATTTAAGAAATAAAGATACAATGAGGAAAAACTGAGACTGATAATCATTGGGCTTCTGATCACAATCCCTCTGGTCCTATTTGAGTTTTGATGTCCTGCATCATTAAATAAATCTCTCACTATTGATCCTGGCACTTGGGCCCCGCCAGTCCTCTATCCTTTAAGCTTATAACACCTCAGAGTATCTGAGAATACTCATGCCCATGCATTTTGCGGGGGAGCCGAGGGCCCGAGCAGGATTCAGGTTGGGAGGAAGATGCAGAAGAGGGGTGAGAGAGAGAGAGGCGAGAACCACGTTACCTGACAGATAATGTTATCATAGTAAGCCAATGCACGGGCATGAGGGACGTTAGGAGGGGTGTCGCACAGTTTCCTTACATTTGGGTGGGAGCCCTCAGCGATGGTGGACAGCGAGAAATTATCATTGTGCTGCTCCGATGAAGGCCGGTACTTACTGCTGGGCGCCAGCGGGGTGGAAAGGGTCGAATGGAGGGAGAGACCAAAAAACAGAAAAAAGGAAAATTTAAGAGATTTGAGGTAAAGCAGTAGGGGAAACATAAACATAAAGGAGCATGTGGGACGTTTTAGAGAAAAGCTCAAGAAATTCGGAAAAGAGACAGAATGAGTTACAGGACAGTGGAGAAAGGTTGTTAAGGATCAGAGATGACATGGAAGAATACAAGAATGAAATGGAAAGAAAGACTCAAACAGAAAAAGAATATGCAGGGTGTGGAGCAACAAGAGGTAAGAGATCATACAGTGAGAAAGACGGGAAGAAAAGTATAAGAAGGATGGGGGGCACAAAAGCAGCATCAGTTAGCTCAACATGAGAAACGATAAAACAGAAACAAACATTTATCTGTGATGCAACACACTGACAATTAAATGTTAGTGGCCTTTAAATTTAAAAGGTAGAAAACATGACTTCTCTTTTACTTTTGAAATTAATTAAATGCAAGAGATAACAGGACATTATCTGATATTATGTTCCCTTAATCTTGAGCTAATATTTGTTTCTCACACAAAACCAGGGCTGCAACAATATATCACAAATATATCATCATCACAATATCCGTGGCCGTAAAAGTTATATTGCAAAGGACTACTTGGAGAAGCAGGTGCTCACAGCAGACACTAATGACATTAAGGTGACAATGACAAAGGTTAAAGGTCACAGAGTGATCAAAAAATGATCAGAAAAAGAGGAAAAAGAAAATATGCATATTAGCATCAGAATATTTACTTATTATCCCCATTGTAAGATTTTCTAAGGTCTTGTAGCCCTGCATATAATTGTAATGAACGCCTGTAAAATTTTGTTTGCAGCGAGAAGCTTTCAGGAAACTGTTAGCAGCCAGAGCAGCAACGTGACAGCAGTCATCAAACAGCATTTCACAGTTACTGAGCTAAATTAATTGCTCTCAAAGATAATTTCCTTCATTCATCAAGAATCTACTAGCAATACAACATGAATCAAAAGCTTCCTTGGAGGAGAAGACAGTATGTAAGCAAACTTGCTTTTTTTTTTTTTTTTGCTTGTTTTGTTTACATGTTTGGATCAATATCAATTTTAGAAACACTGGGGGAACTAAAGAAAAGACCGTACAACATTTTCTACAAAATGTAATTTTAAAAAGTGCAGTTTCTGGTGAGAAATAAATAAAGGCAGTCCCAGTGTGTGGTAGAAGTATCTGAGATCAGACTGCACAATGGTACAATAAGTCTTTAAAAGCCCTAAATTCTCATCAAGGCTACTGCAATGCTCTTATGTAGGTTAATGCGTGTACAATAAGAAATAGACAAAATACTTTTAAGTTTCATGGGATTTTGGGAATGAGGAAGACTTTGTTCTTGGAAAAAGGTTTGGAAGAGATAATCTAAACAAAAATTCAAAACAGTATTCTGGGAATATTTGAAGTTCAACAAGAATGCAGCAAGTGGTTTCTGGAAGGTAAGTCAACAACAAAACAGTTGTCTTTTCCAGCAGCCATTGTACAATACATACAGTGGGAAAAACATGTGAGTGGTTTTTCCTAAGCACTTGGGTTGTTTTTAGAAGCAGTTGAAATCAAAATGGAAGCAGCTGAAATAAAAAAAAAAAATGGAATTTTGCATAATCATTTGGTATACATTAAAGATGAATGCAGTTTCTGATCACAGATTAAATTATTCTCTTAATCTATCCGAAGCAGTTGAGTCCAAAATAGAAGTAAAAAAAATGTTCCCTTTAAGAAATGGAAAGCCCTAGGCACAGTAAAAGCCCACATCACAATCTCACTGAGATTCTGTGACTTGAAATGTGGTGTATATAGATAAATCAGACGCAGCTACACAAAGAGTTTCCTTTCATCTCACCTGGGAGGAAACAACTTCAGGAATTCCCGTTTGACTGTCATATTGAACTCGTTGAGATCCGTGCTCCTTCGTTTTCATCACAGATTTCTCAAAGCAAAGAGAAGTTTGTCTCAGAGACCAAATCAAACAGTAACTTTGTTGAGAGTGACACCAGTTTTGTATCTTTCTCTCTTCTGGCTGTCATTTGGCCTCTCATTCAAACTATTTCTATGAACTCTTGAAGGCGCAGAGAAACATCAGTCCCCCGCTTTCTGATGTCAAGTTGTGACTTTGCTTTTCATCATTTTCACTCCCTTATCATGTGTAGAGTTAAAGAGGCTGTGGTCTTCTTTTCCGATCAAAACGCAGCCATTTTCTCTGATCTGCATGCAGAGCTTTCACGCTAGAATTGATGAATGAAGTGTCATGACTGCGAAAGATTAAGTAGTGATGTGGGAGAGGAAGAGAAAAAGAAGTATATTTCCCATCACCACTTTCAGCTTTGGTCTCACACTAGGCTCCCTTTGAACAAATATCAATTCATCTTCCTGTACATTAAATGCATAATTTCTACAGTTATTAAGATTATTGGTACAATTAAACAAATGGGATATACAGTTTGTTTTGATTTACTGGCTTTAGAAACTTGCTTTTTAGTTGTGATAAGAGCAGTTTTTCACAACTTGTAGTACTCAATTATGAACATACAACTTGATAGATGTGTGACAAAATTTGAACAGTTTTAAAATGAAGAATGGGTGAAAACTGCAGCGTCCGGATGTGCTAGCTTAACTGACCTAACCACACAGACTCTATGCTCTGAGTTAAGAGGGTGTGAATATGTATGCAATCACATATCTTATGTTTCATATTTTTATTCATATTTTTTGCAAAAATATGTTTTCAGTGTGATATTAGTTTTTTGTTGTTAATTTTTCAAAGCCAAATTTTGTTGACCTTGATTAATTTGTAAAAACAAAAAAAAGGCCAAAACATCCAAGGCAGTGTATACTTTTAATTGCCACTATATTATTGGCAAGCACAGTTTGAATGTATGGGACACAAAATGATATAGACAACCCAAAATTAAATATTGCAATAAGGATTGTGCAGCTAAAAAATGAAATTCAGAATTCCTCATTAGGCATCATGATTCAGCTTTTGTTAAACGGCAGTTCAGTTGCTTAATCATCATTTAGCTGCTTTTAATTCAGCACCACCAAATCTACAATTCAGTGGAGTAGCCAGGTTGATTCAGATAAACTCTCTACAACCACTGCATATTAGATGAATAGCTCATTGGGCTATTATTAAACACTGAACTATTGGATTATCTTTGTGTTTGTTGCTTTTCTGGTCGATAAGCGTTTGACCAGAAAATAATGATCTGTGTCAAAGCAGAGAACTCACAGCTAAATATACTCATTAAATCAGGGATAAGAGATACTGAGTTCAGTAACAGGATTCAATTTGATGTGAGTATTAAAAAACTCTTTAATTAGTTACTTTTACTTCTGATTAAAGGAAGCAGCATTTTAAAATCCTCCATCGGACTTTGTCTCCTCTCTCCGTTCTTGACCAGGATGTCGCCTGATCTCAAGACGCTCCGCAGAAACTCACAGCAGATGGAGAGTGTGGGAGTTTCAAGTATTCATGAGCCTTTTCAACACCAAACACACTCCTCTGAGTGTGTCATTCTGAGTTTTTCTCCCCAAAGCTGCCCTCTCCTCTTCGTCTCTCTGTTTCCTTCCTTCATGCAACACTTTTGCCGTCACTCCCCGATCCTCATCTTCCCCTCCATTCTCCTCTCCTAATCTGCCGTCCTCCATCTCCTCTGTCTTCTTCTCATCGATTTCTTAAAACCTACCACTTGATGGGGGAGTGTTTTCTCTTTCATGCAGCACCCTGTAGCTCACACCCCTCAGGTTGCACAGCTGTATGTAGGTCAATCCCACCTCCTCCACCCGTTTCCAGCTCCCCTCCCCTCCCTCCTCCTGTTCAGACTGCCCTACTTTCAGCTGGATCCACAGTCCCAATGACATCACCCTCTCTTTACATTTTTTTTCTTTCATTTCTGCAAGCTAGCATTATGGATGCTAGTCACTGCATCACTTTTCCTCCTTACTACCGACTTTAATCTCTTCCACAGCTAGCATGATATCCCTCCCTGCAGTCCTAAAAATAAACCCTGCAGCGTGGGAGATTGTGATGAGGTCTCGGTCCTTTGGTTCCCATTTGCATCCGCGGTGCTCAGTCGCTGGGCTGTTGCTCATCCACAGCAACTGCTTTGTTGCCACGGAGATCAGCATCAAAACACGAGCACCGTTGAAGTAAGGGCAAAATAACCCCAACCTACTCCTACTCCTTTTTACTTTCAGTCCAGCTCTTCACTCTGTCTGTTGCTCTCTTTTCCTCCTGCTGCTGCCTTTCAGACAGTATTTTCTTTATTAGGATACTGTGCACCAAATAAATTTCAGGGTTTTTAGCTTTATGCAAAGGTTCTAGTCTAGGTTCAAGTCCCTTATTTGAATTAGCATTGCATCATACATGTAGGGTTTTTTGCAAAAGTATTCATACTTTTTAAACTTTTTCTAACTTTGCCAAGTTATAATCAGATATTTTCATGAGATTTTATGCAATAGACTAACTAGTTGCATAACTGTGAAATGGAAAAGAAGATTACTCATGGTTTTATAAATTTTTTACAACCAAAATCCTGAACAGTATCATAGCAAATAAATTAAAATCACTGCAATAACATGACAACTAATTAGTAAATCCTAATTAGATACACCAGACAGGGCAGGGTTAAAGTGGTGGAGAGGTTTCAAGCAGGATAAGGTTGTGAAAACCCTTCAAAGCTTTGACTATCTAATGGAGCAGCGTTCAATCCATCATCCAAAACTGAAATGAGTCACTCCAAAGAAAGACATGACCGTATGACCGTTTACCAAAAGTGTCTGACCGCTCAAGGAGCGCATAAATCAGAGGAGGAGCAAAGAGGATGTTACTAATTAGATGAAAATTGGTGTATAAATCAGTTACTTTAACAGCCATGCAGTACTTTGTAAAATTCAAAGAAAATAAAAAGAAGTTTGTGGTTGAAAGGTATACTGAGGTCCTGAAAAGCTCTCATACTATTTTATTTGTTTAACCTCTCCCTGTATACATTTATTTACATTCATATAGAAATAAATTAGTTAGAGTACTGAACTTAAACTGGACGTTGTTTTAAGGCATCTGACACCAATCTACAAGAGGTTGAAGTTATTTTAAAGAGCCAGCAGAGAAAGTACTGGAGTGACTGTAGTTTTCCAGTGTTATCCTCACTGGTTGCTGCCCATTGCTAGTCAGCTGGCTGAACAAAGGCTTCTACACTTTACTCTGTAAAACTGCAGACTGAAATTTCCAAAATCTGTTAGATTGATGTTTCCTGTCATGAAAAAGCCAAAGAGAAGCAAAAGCAGCACCAAGTCATCATTTTTATTAATATAACACAGTTTTTAAGAATAGAGCTGGTAAAACAGGAGCTGCTAGAAGTTATTGTAATCATTGTTTATTTTAAAGTATTGTGTACATTTTGCAATACTGTGGTATTTTTACTTCAGGGAATAAGTTAAGGAAAGGAAAATAGATTATATGCAAATAAATAGCATGAAAAGAATGATTTATTTTTATGTTTGGGTCTCAATATTCACTGAAATAATTTTTAAAGAGCATTTGCTTGATTATTTACAGTATCTATGCTTCTGGTAAGACTCACAGCAGCTGCATCGCCTCACCTGCCTTTTCCTCAGGCTGATTCTTGCTCTCAGGTCTTCATACTGCCTTTCTCACCTCCTCCCTCTTCATTTTCTTCGATCTACCTTCCCTTCAACTTCCCACCACACTCAAACTGTGTCCTTGTCAGTGTCTTTTTAAGCTCGCCCATCCCCCTCCTCAGCAGTCTCAAACACATCTATCCTCTCTTTTGTTCTTGTTTTGATCCTGTTCCTGTTAAACTTATAGATTTTCTGGATTTTCTGTCCTGACTCATAACTTTTGCTCATTACCAATTTAAGATATTCAACATTCAAAAGATTACAACATGAGTTTTCTAGGGAGATTAAGGGCCACCATGTGCTGCAAGATACATTTTAATTCGTACTGGAATTTCATACAGTCCTGAAAAAGGTATTGTTCCTTTTATTAATTTCTACACATTATCAAAAATTCCAGTAATCTGAAAATAAAGTAAGGAGATGGTATTTTTTGCTATCATGTAGGATTGTAGTGCTTTTTAAGACAGATGAAGGACTGAATGTTGAAGCAAACCGACTTTTTGTCACCTACTGATCAGCTAGAAATCCATAATTGAATTTCTAAACAACATGTAGTGCTTGTGTGATGAACTGTCACCAGGTTCTAGCTGCTGTATCTCTTATACGGCACATCAGTACCTGTGTTTCTATTACAAATATGCCCAAATCTTTGTCGATATATTTTTCCTAATATAAAAAAAAACCCAATTTCACAATTGCAATGTTTCCATTAAATACAAAATTAAATTAAAATCACATGCGAATAAGCTTGTAAGTCATTAAAAATCATGGCAGCGATGGACTGAACTTATATAGCACTTTTCCAATCATTTTTGACCATTCAAAGCACTTTACAGAGTCACATTCACCCATTCGCACTCATGAACGCTCACACATTTATACACCAATATGCAGGTCGGTAGGCAATTTGGGGTTAAGAGTCTTGCCCAAGGGCACATCGACATGTGGCAGGAGGAAGCTGGAATCGAACCTACAACTTTCTGATCGCAAGACTCTACCCACACAGCCACAGTCAACCCCTGTACATGAAATACATTCATATTTCAGGAATGGTTGCTCTGTTATTATCTATCAGCCATCAGAGGAGATGTTGGCATCTTATTGAGGTGTTGGAGCGGGAAGCCCCTTGTACCTGGGAGAGGCTATGTTTGCAGCAAATTAGGAAAATTGCTGTCGCTGATCTAACTGAGGAGCTATGGATTCAACATGTTCGAATGACACACGACTTTCTATGAACTCTGTGACGCTGTGAGGGCTCTGGTGGAGCCAGCTGCACATTGTCTGGAAAAAATAAAAGTAAAAACAAACCATCACTCTACTACCACTTCCTGTCATTTTCTTCATTGTTTCCACGAGTAGCAACATCCAGCTGTGTTGGTCGTGTGTCTTGTGTAATGTGAAAACAGTGTTTTTTTTTTTTTTGCAGTTTTTGCGAAATACATCCATTTTGATAAGGCCAAAAAAAAACACCACATACTGCTGGAAAAGCTTTTTATTTTATGTTTCCATTAAGCTAATTTATTTTTGTAATTTCAATTTGTGCAATTTTGTGGCCAATGGAAACACAACTACTGTTGCAAAATTGCTTGGAACAGGACTGCAGAATCAAATCTACTTACAATTTATATTTAATGACTAAGTTAATGATAAGGTTAGAATTTAATAACTGTAATGATTTTTTTCAGTGGGATATTTGATCAGTTGGTGAACAACCCCTACAGCCTGTGTGTGGCAGCCGGTTTAGTTTTTCTTCTTCTTAAAAAGGGCTGAGCCTCAAGTGCTTTAACTCATCTGACTCATTCCTTCTTGGAAGAGTGACTGCGACAAATTCCAGTAGAGGAAAACAATTCTGCACTTTTTCTGCACTTCTTTGAAGGACACATGAAGTTGGTTACATCCATTGCCATTATTTTTCATGCCAATTTTGCTTCGTTATCCTCAGTGAATGTCTAATATTTTATAAAAGCCCTGATCTGTCTGATTTCTTCTTAAATTATTTAATCTTTCCCTAATTATAATTACAAATGTAATGAAACAAACATTGCAAAAGTCGAATATTGAAGCTTGCAGCAGCTGCAATCTCCTCCTGAATAGTGGAAAAGTTGTTTTCAACTAGTGGCTGCCAATTCCTCGGTCATCTGAAGATAATTTCTGCCCAAGGTCTGAAGGTCTTAGTGAGACGCTTTAGCCAAAAAACATATTTAGGCAAAGAAAAAATAATATAAAACTTCACAATTTCTACTTTTCCTTTATTAGAAACCTTACGGTCTTGTCTCACCTGCGCTTGCGCAACTTTTTGTTCTCCGTCTTGAGCACGTGGAGTTTTTTGGCGAAGCAGACAATGATCATGAAGAGCAGCAAGAGCACCAGAGCCGAGGTTCCCACGGCGAGGCACATCACCTGGAACTCGGTCACCACCGACTCGCAGCGCGCCCCTTTGTGCCAAATGTAGTCCTGGACATTGCATCTGAAACAAAGACAGACAAGATGGGTCATGGTGAAAGAGTCAGGTGAAAGGAAAAGGTGAGCAAAACACAACAAGAAATATAAATATGTGCCAAATGGATTTAAACTTGCCATTTGCACCTTTTCGAGTATTATGGGTCTGAATGTTCAAGTATTTTGATATTAGTGATTACATATGTTAAGCTGTTAGGTACATGTACTTCCTTACAAAGTAATGTGTTGTAGAGTCAGATGTGTGGGAATCTGTTGGACAGACTGTTGCTTGAAGTAAAAACAGATGAACAGAACAATGTCTCAAACACAGCCCAAGGTCATCTACAACAGAATGATGGAAAAAGTAAAGAATCAACATGTCACAATGACCCAGTTAACATGAAGACCTCAGCGTGAAATACTGTGGGAAGAGCTGTGTGCAAACCCAACCCTGCAAAATGAACTGAAACAGTATAAAAAAGAAGTCGAAATTCCTACGTGAGAAAGAGAGATTAAAAGAATATTACATAAGCCTGGCTATAAAGTTATTTACTGCTGAAGCTTTTTTCCACATAGTTTGATTAATGCCTGATTCAGAAAGCATAAAGACTGTACTTAGCCTCACTGATAATGGAACGTTAACAAGGAAAAACCACCTGAGGTGATTTTCCATACACATGGCGACTTTAGCTCACAAATGCGCACCGAGCAGCTGTCGAAAATACTAAGTCAGAAAAGACATTTATAAGATTTAACAAACCACACATGTGGACTCACACACAAGACACACACAGATGCCTTCTGAGTCCCATGCTCCTTTTATAAGTGTCTGGTAAAGTGCAGAGTTCGCCTGGGGAGGGGACCAGAACCACAGAGGCAGATGACTTTGTCTACCCATCAGAGAGCTGGGAACCAAGTATCGCTTTTGATTTCACTGTAAAAATGGTCATAGGGTGCTGCACAAACAGATAAAAATGCATTTTATCATTAACCTTTTGATTGGCACAAACAATGGCAAAAGACAGCAGTCATGGAAATTAAAGGACTGGCAGACTTTGGTGTAACAAGTGTATCAAAAAGACAAAGAAAATAAAAAACGGAAATGTTATTTTTTAATAACGATTAAGGATGAAATTAATTCAAAAACAGGAGAAATACTGGTCCATCCATCCATCCATCCATCCATCCGTCCATCCGTCCGTCCATCCATCCATCCATCCATCCATCCATCCAAATACAATATATCATTACATTATAATAAACTTTATCTGATCTGAGGATAATCTTGTCTCACTCAGAAACATGTATGGCAATGAAATATTTTACAAGATGGTATTTTTTCTAACAATATAAGCATGAACAAAAATATTTGCAAAACTTTTGAAAATACATTATGGGAAAAACCTATTTGTGAAACCTAACAAAGCTTTCAAAGTACTTTTAAAACTTATATCCTAGATTTATATTATACATTTTTATTGCGTGGAAATGTTGCAGACAAAAACAAGAAAAAAGTTGTAATCAAAGAGGTGATTGGTTATGTTTCAAAAGGTAGTTTTAGAAATATGTTGGAGAAACTTATTAAAAAACAAAGATTTTAAAGAAATGTTATGGTCTGTGTAAAAAGCTCCAACCTTTGAGCCATTTGTGCCTCACAAATAAAAGTCAGTTTGGCATTAATGAAAGCCTTCCATTTCTAAAAAAAATAAATAAAAAAATAATATATATATATATATATATATATATATATAATGTTATATTGCACTCTTTATTCACCTTTATCATTTAGGAGTATTATGTTAATTGTTACTGGATTTCACAATCTTGGCTATGATAGCTGCTTAAAATATATTTTTATAAAGATTTTCATCACTTTCACAGCAAACTGGGGTGAAAAAGGTAAACTTTAAGTGAAAACTGAGCAAGACATGTACTGCTGTCTTTTCACCCTCTCTGTAACGTCTCTGTAGAGCAACTGAGATGAAGCCGTTGTAAAGAGAACGAAGAGTTTGAAGTTTGCTGATCCTATGCGCTTTTCCACATGTAGGTGCGTTCCCTTCACGGCTCGTTTTCCTGAATCCTTCCTGAATATCCTTCTTTCATTTGCCAGCTGAAAGAAAGAGTTGCCAAAGAGCCAGGAGACATTTTGAGTGTGTGGGCATGTGTGCGAGGAGGAGAGAGGGGAGCGATGGAGACTGATATCACATTTTCAAGGAGACTTCAGTGCACTCAACCTCTGAGTGTTTCTGTGTTTGTACAAAAGAAGAGGTTTATGTAAGTCGGCGCGAGACGGAGGGAAGGCGAGAGTGCGGGTAGGGAGGGAAATAAAAGGAGGATAAAGGGATGCAGAAAGGACGAGGAGGGAAAATTATGTGCTGGTCTCTATGGCAACCCAGCTGAGCAGCAAACGGAGCAGACATGGAGCTGACATGTCATGCCTTCACAGGCGAGCCGAAAAAGGGAGGAAAAAATCCTCTTTAGCATCCAGCTCCCCATTCCTCTTCTGTATTCCTGCCCTGGTTTCTCTAATCCCTTTCCTGCCGTTTGTCTTTTTGAAAATGTATTTTCCTACTCACTGCCGCTCTTTCGCTGTCCTACTTCCCTCCGAAGAGATCCAGCTGATGCACATCTCCTGCTTTTAGGTTGTGCAGCCAAATTGTTTTCAGGCTTATTATTAAAATGAGGAAGGTGAAGTCATAAGTGAACTTAATTATCTCTGACAAGGTATTGGCACTGCAGAGCTGTGACATTAGAAACTACACACACAGAGTTTGGTGAATGGCACACAAAAAAGCTACTAATAAACATTGTTTGCAGGTCATCTCTGCTGCAGTTAATTGTCAAAATGAAAGTTTCTTTAAGCTAAAAATATTTTTCTCTCTCATTCTAGTGTAGTAACACGTGGTCTGCTGATGGAGTAGTGATGCCAGCAGGATCAATGAACGTATCCACTAAGTCAAAGTAAATCAATAGTTACAACCTGGAGACATTTGAGTCAGTGAGGAAAAGGAGAATGTCAACAATCAAGTTTCTGGTCGTCATGAACACAGGAAGTAGGGTTTCTTCTCCTGCAGACTCATTCAACTGCTTTTCCACAGAAAATCTGTTTTGCTTTTACCAATGCTTTAGAAAAAATCAGAAGTTGGTTTTATTCTTAGTATTTATTTTTTCATTTTGCTCTAAATTAGTTCATTTGAAAGTGTTAGGCTGTGTGTAAAAAGAGGATATGCAAAAAATGCTGAAAGGTAAAGTGTTAATATTGGCCAGTTGTGTTTTTCTTTTAAGACATATAATTTGAAACGATATATAAACAGCATTGAAAACACAATTGTCCAGCCTTCTTTGGTCATTAAATATTGATATTAGAACCAGGGGGACATTCAATCATCACATTTTTAATTTGCACAATATTGCAATAGCAAAAGGAGGCAATATCTGGAAGGTCTTTCAGGTTCCATCCACTTTGCTTGTAAATAATATATTTGACAAGTTATATGAACTTCCAATGAGTTTATGGACATCATTGGTAAGGAAATCAGTCATAGCATATAATAGTAACTACAGCTACTTATTCGTGCTTCATCTGATCTCAATGTTAAACCCCTTAGTTATATAGACAATTACTAACTTTTAGATTTTTTTCCACATTTTAACCACTTTCACACAGAAAAGCATTGTAGAAACCACAGTTTGTAAGTGCTTACATGTGGTGGATTAGGTGACCAAAAAAAAAATTAAATACATAAAAATTTTATTAAATATTTAAAAATAATAGACAACCAGACTGCAAAGCTCTGCTGGTATGGTACTATAAGTCAGTTATATTAAGCTATCTTAGCTAAAAGCTTATAAACATCCATTTATCATATGTATTTGAATGCAGTCAACAATATCTGTCATCATTGGATAGAAAAACAAAAACAAGAGTTTAAGAGACACAGAAACATAAAATAAAGTACGAAGAGATGAAGCCCTGTTGTGTTTTCACGGAAGTTTATGGAATTAAGATAAATCAAACAGATGATTTCTGATCTAATTCATAAGACTGTTGGGGCACTATAAGACCAGCTCACAACATATTTTACTTTTGAATTACTTTTGTGAATCTCTTAATCCCTGAAAAACTTTAAAGCCTCAAGCAGCTACAAAGAGAAACCAAAGGAGCCAAAGTTTTCAACAGGGATGAAACAGCTTCTACAATCAAGCCTGTTCAAAAGCTCCTAACACTTCTGTGGTTTACATGAGACGCCAGCAACAGTCATGAAGTCACCACACATCCCATTACAGTTTTATTCACTCTCCAACCCGTCATTATCTATGTTGCCATGGCTGCTTACGGCCATCTGAGAAGTAATGTCAAAATCTAAAAGGACCACAGAAGAACTGGCACTGGGACAGAGAAAAAGAAAGAATACAAGACAGTAAATCCTCTGACTGTTCACCTAATTAAGCTGGAACATGGGTGTGTTTCATTCTAGAGGAGTATATGGTACAAATAGGACAGGACAATAAGATCTATGCTGGGTTGATTTTCTGAGGAAGAATGGAAAGTGACAAACAGGAATAAGCAGAGAATGAAAAAATCAAGCTCCTCCTCCTGCTGCCTCCCTGTGGTTATACTGGCATCTGGAGAAATACCCGGCTCCAGGTCAGAAACAACCAATCACAGCCAGGAGGAATGTCTTACCGCTGTCAATTAAGCTTATGTACGCGCTGCTTCCAAGACACGCTGCTTGTGTTGCTGCTGCTAAATTACTGAAACTACTGAGGATGCTATCTTATCCGTTGTTATATAAACAACTATAATTGACTATATAATTATTTTTCAGATCTTAAATAATTATATAATTGATTCATTATTAGTTGAAATTTGAATAAAGCCTTGAAAAATGTTTTCTATTTTATAAAAAATAAAACAAAGTAAACATTGTTTTCTGGAACCTGATTTAAAAAGTCAAGAAATTATCCAATATCTTAAGTTAGATCTTTGTTGCTACAGTTGGACAGAGGCATTCTGGGAACATTTCC